CTGGGAGTGAATACATGTTTGTTCACATTTTCCCAGGAAAAGTCATGCAATGTGTGGTCACCCCAGTCCCTTGAAAACCCTAACACCTTCAGGACAAGGGAGAAAGCAAAGACCACTGTGTGTCAGGGAGTTTTCCAGTGACTGACCCTGGCCTACCCTACCAAGACTTCCACAGCCCATCTTACCACATGGTCAACACAAGGTGTGCTTATCAGGAGGGTATCTGCTAAAGAGGTGAGTGCCTCTTTATCCTCCTCACACCCTGGTTCTGGGGCAGAAACAAATACTGATTGCTTTCTGACCTCTTTCTTATCTCCCACCACAAGGTCAATATGACCTTTGATCTGCACCTTCTCTGCCTCTCCCTTGCTAGAGCAGAGGTTTGTTGGGGTCCAAGGTGGGAGGGAGGTCTACTCTAATTAAGTGATAAGATCACTGACATGGGTTCATTCATCTACAGAGCAGAACTCAGAAGTCAGGGCAAAAGATTCCTCTAAAGATTGATCTGCATTATGTATGTTCCTGTTCTTGTGTGTACGCATGTGCACATGTGTGCGATTGTGTGGAGACCAGAGACTGATGCAAGTGTCTTCTTCGATCACTTTCCAAACCTAGCCCTCATTATTCAGATATAAGGACTCAGATGTGTCTTACAAAATGAACGTTGCTTGCCAAAAAGAGGGAGAGTTATATCTTGAGTGTCACATCTGGATGATTCTGTCATCCCCATCATCACTAGAAACCATCAGCTTTCTTCAGGGTTGTCTCTTTCTGATGTAGGGACTCCTTGGGAAAGCAAGATGCTGCTTTTTAAAAGAGATGATTGACCTTGAACTTTTAAAATGTGTTTCTCAGTTTTCCCTTTCCATCACTGTCTGGCTAACATTATGCTCTGTGATGTCTTAAGATCCCATGTTTAATGTAACAGCAAATGAACACATTTGGCAAACAAGCTCTACCATTGAATATAAGAGAGGGAATATTTTGTCAGTCATGCCTGCCCCATCTCTGGGAACTTGATAGGTATCCCTAGTGTCCTGAGAAGGGAGTGGCTGTGGCATCTCTGGGCAGTCCTGACCCTCTGGTGTGGGGTCCAGCAAGCCCTGAGCTCAGGGGGAAATATAGAGCAGTGCAGGAGTTAAAAGAAGGCTTTGGGTCTGTGGGATAAAATTTCCACTGCGCCTTATGCAGGAACCAAATGACCCTGGAAGACGTGCTTCTTAGTACTTCGGTTTCTTCCTCTGCCAAATGTTTTTAGTGAAAGAATCCATGTACAAGGAAACTGGTATGCACAGAGGTTCAATAGCCAGCGTATATAATACATTTTGTTCACCTTCCATCACTTAAGCACCCCCATTTGTGCAAGTCGTGGGGGGCGGTGCTAGCAATGCCAGTGCAGGTTCACATGGGGGTCAGGCCCTGTCAGACAGGGGCCCCCTCTTCCTGTCAGACCTCCCTGACATCCACACTTCATTCTTCATCTCTCTCATCTTTCTTCCTGGTCTTGCCTTCCTCTTTCTACCCCTCCGTCTTTCCCGAGAGTCTGACTGTCCTCTCAGTGGGCCTCAGAGTCCCTCATGTCAGGCCATCTTTCTCTACCACTGTCAACATCACCAACGCTCCTGGGACGATGTGAGGTAGCGGGAAGCCACTTGTCCTAACCGTCATCCCCTGACATTTATCTCAGTCCCTTCCCCCACTGGGCCATCCTTCAACCCTCCCATGCTCCATGAACATCATTCACTGTCTCTTCAGCTCACATATAAAATTTGGTTTGCTTTAGCCACTTAAATCTGTCTGCAAGCTCTCTGAGGCTTCAACTCATAATAGCCTGATTTTCAGCCTGTGCTTCCAGGCCCTGCCTTCTAGAACCTTTACTTCAGGAGTGTCCTGTGCCCTAGCCCCTGAAACACAGCCCAATCAGGAGTCTGTAGAAGGCCTGAGCACTAGCCTTCCTGTGAGGGGCCTTCTTTAGGCTGTTCTAGAAGTTTCTAGCCCTCTGAGACTTAGCCCCCCCTTTGCTTTCTGCTCCTCTCTCCGTGAAACCAGTCTGAGATTAACAGAATCAAGATTTTGCTTGAAAAACAGAGAAAATTCCAAGCCTTGCCCAGAAGCAGCTGCTTTCTCAGCATAGTTTCAAAGAATGATGGGAATTCTACCAGGTATGGGGCCACCATCATGGAGATTTATTGTTATTTAGTTATGTGTTTTTGCATGTGTGCACTATGCACACAGGTGCATGTACACATGTGCAGTTGCATGTGGAGGCCGGAGGTCAATGTTGGGTGTCCTCCTCTACCATTCTCCACCTTATTTTTTGGGATAGGGTCTCTCATTGAAGCCCATGCTCATCAATTCACTAGACTGACTGACAAGCAAGTTCTGGTGGCCTTTGTCTCTTCCCCCAAAGTACTAGGATTACAGATGTGTACTACCACATCTGACTTTTAATGTGGGTGCTAAGCATCTTAACTCAGGTCCTTATAGGTGCTTTACCGATTGAGCTATCTCCCCAGTACCTAATTTTGTTTTTATTTATTAACTTTTGCAAGATTCTATCAAATAAACATTTACATAGATTATAATCTCTTGATAAAGTGGTCACTAGAAGCAAGACATGAATGAAAAAGGCCAAAACCTTCATGTGGAAAGTCAATGATGGGATGAATTGACTAGGTTTGAAAACTAACCTCTTCACTGGTAACTTTACCAGAGTAGCATGCCCAGTTCCTCTTGCTGACTTCTACAGGAACTTCCCAACTCATGGCCCCATGGACTACTACCACAGCAGAGCCCTGGGCCGCCCTCATGGCCATTCTCAAGGCCTAGCAAGGTTCGATGCCATCTTGGGATTGTCAAATGTGAGTCTCACTAGTAGTCACTTTTAGGTCCCTTTCAGCAGCTGTGTATTGAGCCCACTCTGTCGGTCCTGTACAGCATGGTAGAAATCACTGGGAGGTGGTTAGAATGCTGGTGTTGAGCCTGATCTGCAGCAGAGCCTGCAGCTCAGCAAACTCTCCAGGTGATTTTTGTTTTTTGTTGTTGATTTGTTTGTTCTCCAGGTGATTTTTTTTTATGAGCGTTCAAATAAGGAACCCCTGAAGCGGGTAACGGAGGGAACGGGCAAGAGTGTCTCTCTCTTCTGGTTTGAAAGATGGGATTGACAGACGTGCAACAATGGAGCAGGACACAAGCAGGTTTTGGTAGGAAATGGCTATCAACAACTAAAACCACGTCCCCCCTCTGCCAAGTACCTCCCCTGAGATTTGGAGACTTCATCTATAAAATGGGGTGGCACTTGCCCTGACTACCTTGTAGGATTGTCTATAGATCAAAGCAGAAGATGTCAAAGCACCACACTGACCCAAAGAACTGTGACAAAGCATACTTGAATGCTAGAGAAATTTGTACATGAGAGATGGCTCAGGAGGCCTTGAGTAGTATGGAAGATCCAGCCAAGAGGCCTGAGGGGGTTGAGGTATGGCACAAGGCACTAGAGTAAAACAAGGTGGAAAATGTACATTTGACCATCCTCTAGCCCTGACCAACACCCACCAACTGCCTCCTGACAGCCTGCCAAATAGCAACACCACAGGTCTCAGACACAGTCAGTATCACCAGGTACTTTGCAAAGGACACAAAACAGGCAGATGTGGTTTTTGTGGTAAGGCTGCAATAAACCCAACTGTTGCAAAATTTTACTCTAGTTTGAGGTACAGGAGAACATTTCATCATTTTTCAGGGTTGACCTGGGAACATGACCAGACACTACAAACTGGGGGAGATCAAAGAAATCAGCAGGTGAGTTCGTGGGTGACAGTTTTCCTAGAAAATTCTCATGAGCTTTTTTGTTCTGTTAGATTTCTTTTTCTTTTATTCATTCATTCTCTCTCTTTTCCTTCCTTCCTTTCTTTCTTTTGTTCAATTGTCGCTATGTCCAAATCAAGGAGTGGCTCTTGCCCTCACTTCATAGGTGAGAAAACTGGGGACTTGGAATTTGAACCCAGATTGCTCTCCTCTCTGAGGTACTTCCCTACATACCTCCTTACTGGGGTCACTGAATCTCCTGCCTGTTCTGATCAGTGGGAACAATGCCCCTGGACTTCTGTTATGAAAGCTGTTCTCTGACTCACTGACGTCTGCCATGCTTGTCCTGAGTTACTCCAGAGAAATGCTCTCTTCTGGCAGGAAAAGATAAAAACGGCTGATGCACATGAGTCACCGCGCTCACTATAATTAATAGTGATGCAAGAGGCAGATCCAGGAGAGGGGCCTCCAGACCCTGCTTCTAGGCTACCCCAGCATTGAGCTGCATTTCAGGGCTACAAAGATTCTCTGCAGCTGACTGTCTTTCTGCTTGACACACTTTTAAACGAAGAAATGAAACCTGGAATGCATATAGGCTTGAAGATAATGGAGCCGAGAGGAACCACACCAAATTCATCTCCTTATTTACAGTCGAAAAACCAAACTCCAGAACCATGAAGAGTTTATGGTTTAGAGAGAATGTAGATCTTTGCTTTCACACTCTGCTGCCCTGGAAAGTCTAAGCAGTTTTCCACCTGCTGAGTTGATTTACAGCAGCTCCCATTGTAAATTTGGTTGTACTAGGTGCTCAGCTTCTGCCCTTCTGATCCCAGGATGTATCTGTGAACTTTTCAAAAGGGCATTAGCTACCACTAGAGTCCCTCTCTTCTCTTCTGTTGGTCTGGAATAAGATGTGATTCGGTGATAATCTTGTTAAAATAAGCCTTGAACCACAACACCCACCCACTCTGCAGGCAAGCCACCCAATCATCACACAGGCACAATCCATGGTACAAGGTGAAGATGACCTGTGGCTGCATTTGAGGATACATAATTCCCAAAGCCTGACAAAAAGAAATCAAGTTGTGGTCAGGGCCTGGATAGGTGTTGGTAACATCTCGTTATCTCTTTAAAAGGGGCTCATCCAGCGCCCAGATTCTAAGATTCTAACACAATACAGCTGACAGATCTCGCACTTTCTTTTGGAACAGACTTTAATTGAGAGCAAAGTGAAAAATGCAGGTTACATTTTTAGTGTTATCAGCAATACACTGTAAGATTAACACCCACACAGTGATGCATCTAATATTCATACACTTTCTAATTTTAGTTGTCAAAGAGCAAATCATTATCATATATATATTTACACAGTATTTCAAGCAACAGTAAATTAATAAACCCCTCCCTTTAAAAACAACAACAACAACACACACACACACACCTCTAAACAATGGATTCCCTCACAATAGTACATCTCTTTTTTTTCACATACTTGTAGACTCAAAGATATTTAAGTTACTCAAGAACAGTCTTATCAGTGAACATCCTGGACCAGCCCCTATTTTCTTTTAAAGTCACTTTAATTTTTACAGCTTTAAGCCACATAGCCAGTGTGGTCTGTACACTCTAAGGATACCCCAGATCATGAAAATGAATTCTTCCACTTCCTTTGTGTGAGAACATACGATGCACTTAATTACAAGTAAAAAAAAAAAAAAATCAAAAACATTAAAAAAAAAATCTCAGCTCTTCAAACATATGTTTTTGTTTTTGTTTTTGTTTTTTAAAGAGCACTGTGCTAACGTTAAAAATGAATAACTGAGAAACCCAAGAGCTTTAAAAGTTGCCTGGTAAAATTACATCCTGCCTTCCAGGTTAGCAGCCGCCTGACCTCTGGAATGCTGGGCAACACTCGCCCCTGATGCCTTGTTCTCTGATTTATTTCTCACTGGTGCTGTTAGTAAGTGGGAACTATGACAAAGTTTACATTAGCAGACACATACACATGCCCTGGCCTATAAATATCCCCTGATGGAAAATGGTACAATAGCTCCATTCCTAGTGAAAATGAGTATAAAAGGAGAAGAGGAAGGTAGAGGAACATTATCAACAACAGTTCTTATAGTGAAAAATCCAGACCAAATGGCAACAAGGCTTTCAACTAACAAGACACTATAAGCCACTTCACCAGTCAACTAAAAGCAGGCAGAGCACAGACCAGCTCCTCTGGACAAATCTGGTAGGATCCAGTCACACAGGTATCTTGTTGGAAGCTGGATGAAGACCCACAGCCATGTCCTTTGTAGGTGAGTGAGAGGCATTTCAAATCATATTTGGAAGTAGTTCACACACTGTCCTGCCTGGGACATGGAACTGTCCCCAGGTCAGACCCCTCAAAGCGCCAGCTGGAGCTTGGTCATATTTCTCTGATGCATATTGTGATGGCGGACTAATTCATCTGACCGGGCAAACTTTTTCTGACAACTGGGCCACCGACAGCTGAAGGGCTTTTCACCTGTTGACACAATTGCCAGTCAGAGACACTTGCAGCAGAGTGACAGGGCACAGATTCAACTATCAAAGGCCCATATTAACTCACCACAAGGCACCCTCCCTGGACTCCTGTGGCTCTTTCCCTAAGCTAACCAACTAGCTTTTCCCTGGGAGCCTGGGATTGGCATCACCTTTGGAGTCTTAGAGAACAGAAACACTGAAAAAAAGTATAAAATATTCTTAAGGCAGAAGACTTGGCGAGTAGGAGAGAAGGATTAAGTCTAGTTTGTAGATCTCTAAGCAACTCATAAATTAAGGGTGTTTTGAAATCGTTGGTTTCATCTCTATTGTGAGGATGCTCTGTGACCTGTGCAAATGTTTCCCTGTTGCTGTCTATGTGGAGTCTGAGCTGCAAGGGCCTCTGGACCATTACCCTGGGTGTTATTGACTGGTTGCTGCCCTGAAGTAGACCTGTGACTGAAACTTTACTATGTCTGTAAATTATGTCTTTTGGTGTAAATTCTTGCTCAGAGCATAATCTGTTAGATGGAAGATTCTAGTTGCAGCACTGGTTCTGCCAAAAGATCAAGGCTGCTCTACATAAAGAGCTTTCATTCTCATTAAAGATAAAATATAGCTCTTATACAATGCCTATATATGGGCATCACATATATACATATATGCACTGCTTTGCTATTCCTTACAACAGTCCCACAAGGAACATTTCCATTCTACAGATGAGGTTAGACATTTGTTGAGGACAAACACAGGCAGGGCTCAAATCCAGGCGTGTCTAATTCTGAAGTCTGCACTCATTTCTATATCACACTCCCAGGCTCTCCTAAGGAAAATACAACAGAAGCCAAGCCCTAGTGCTACCTGGAGAACTTCCCAGGGTGTTGAAATGTCCCAGAAGATGTGGTGTTCTGAGGCCAGGCTTGGGCCTGACCCAACACAGCATCAAGCATTCTGTTGGCGACACAAGCCACTTCAAACATACATAGGCAGTGTAATATACAGGGACAACTCCCCACACTATGAGCTCGGGGAACTCAATGAAAGACAGGAGAAGACACACATCCTGCCAACACTTGGGCATAGGGGTTTTGACTGTGTCTTAAACCTGTTTGGGCTGAAGTCTTGGGACTTCCCTGGAGGCTTACTATGTCGTGTTTTATTTTACTTCCTGCTTACTGTCACTTTGCTTTTTCTCTTCTGGCTCCTGCTTCCCACCCTCACCTCTTCATGGGCATACCCCAACCCTTTCTCATGTTGGATGCCTCAGTGGCACTCAGCTTGGCTGACTGGCTCTCTCTTCACTTGCCTGACCTCCCTGCATGGCTGTTTGAACTCATGTTCTTTCTCCAACAGAGAAGACAGAGGGATGCGGTGGACTAAGGGCAGTCACACGTGCATTTGCTATCCATTTGCTTTGTGACTTCGGGGAAATCATTTAATCACTACCTGTCATAGACTCCTCATCTGTAATGGAGATGGAGATAAAATTGCCTACCCTGCTCTGCTTAACAAGGATGCTGTGAAGATGGAGTGATAACTAACCTAAGCAATGGTCCTGCTTCCCAAGGTAGAAAATGTGCAACAAAGGTGGTGCTGTTTTCATGATGAATCACACCAGCCTTGTGGATAAGCACATGCTCCAGGCAGCCAGTGGGGACGGCAAAGTGCCCTTCTCCTCTCTTTGCTAGTATAAAGGAGATGTGATCCACGTGATTGTGCTTATCTGGCAGAAACCAAGACTCCTCGAGGGCCATTAACTTTAGGTAGAGCAAGAAATACATTCTCCAATTAGGCTTTCAGGAGAATAGAATTCTAAAATTTTGGTTTGTCCTTAAAGGTTGATTATCCTACCAAATAGTGATGAACTGTGATACAATAAGTGGAGAACAATAGGGATCAGCTAATCTTTCCCTGTTTGTTTTGAACACCTAGGACGGGGTCCCTTCCCATCTCTCTCCTGCTCAGAACTTCCACCACCCTTTTCTTTGAAAAACATCATCACTTAAAAGACAGACATGCATTCACTGTTCTTTCCCTAAACTGATTCTCAACCCTAGAACTTTTACAGGAATCTCTCTCATCACAATTTTATTCAACAGTATCTTAAAAATAATGAAAAATAAATGTGAAGAAAAGTTTACGCACTTGTTTTACCTGTATGAGTCCTGGTGTGGGTCTTCAGGTGGTCGGACCGGGAGAACTTTCGTTGACAAGTTTTACACTGGAATGGTTTCACACCTAAACGGACAGACAAGGTCTAGCCTCGGCCCTAACAATGTGGGGCACAGCGAGGCCCACAAGGCCAGTTTTCTGGCAGCTGGAGGAGCCTGGCATATCCAGCCATGCCTGTAGGGTCTATCTACCTGGCCTTGAGATTTCCTTAATCTCTCAGGCCAAGCAGGAACCATCTGATTCTGCACAGTCACTTCAAGGATCATTCAGACTTGGGAACAACCATTTTCTAACTACAAACAACCAGTTTCTTACCAGCAGACAAGTCATAGAGACTGAAAAGAGTGAATCATGCTACAAACTGGCTTCTCTCCACTCCCCTGGTTCCTGATCTTAGTATATCACTAGCCCACTGCTGTGGGATCTCACTTGTGCTGTGGTTAACAGGAGAAGTATAAGCTTTTTGCTTTTTTTTTTTTTTTTTTTCTTTTTTCTTTCTCCTTTTTCTTTTAAAGAAAACTCTGGATAAGGTGGGGGGAAGTTGGAAAAAGGAAACAGATCACCCTCTTGTCCATGTTTAATAAGGAAGACAGTCACAAAATCAGCTCTAACCCAGGGCCTGTGACTGCTGGCAATGAGAAGTGAACCTACAAACCTGTGTGTCTCCTTTGGTGTCTTTTGAGTTGGTCTGAACGAGAAAACCTTCTCTCACAGTCCTTGAAGTCACACTGGTAGGGTTTCTCACCTTAGAGAAGATACATATTGTATTTGAGTGCAATACTGCCAAGTATAGTCTCATTAGAGGCAACCTCTACTAATGCAGATGAAGTGATTTCAAAATGCCCAAGGACATAAAAATCCCACTTACATACATGCCCACGGATAGAGGGAGGAGTTAAAGAGGTCACTCTGGTATATCCAATGCTGGGTGAGGCCCAGTTCTCTCATTGTAAAATATGGCAAATGATCCAACAACTTCAAAGGATTCATGAGATTAGAGCAGACCATACACATAAAGGATACAGACTGGCCCCTAGCACTGAGGCAGTTCTGAAAAATAAATAATTAGCAGGAAATATTTATAGAAGTCAAAACCAAGTTAGTTTTAACTCCTAGTCTGAATCTGAGGCAGAATTTTGGGATGGATGTGTCTTGAGGCTGACCCTGTGAAATAAGTGTTCCCTGTTTTATGGCCTGGAGATTTGGTGTTCTCAGCTACTGACTTCTTGTTCTTGAGTCAAACAAATGACTCCATGGTTGTGAGACACCCCAATTAAACCAGGAGCTGAAGCATTTAGAAAGATTGTGGTGTCCCTTAATTCAAAAGAGTCAACAGAGGGATTGCACAACCTCTGCACAACCTCTCAAAAAGGAGGGCTCCACCCATGTCCTACATAGGAAAAATTCAGCTGAACACTGGGAACAGAGCCCCTAGAGTGCACTGAGCATCCAAAGGTCTTCCCACCTCCCAGACTTCTGAGTCACAGCATTCTGGGATGGAGAACAAGCCATTCTGAGGTCAGCCCACTCTTTCCATTGCTGGGCAGCCCTGTTACCTTTCCTGCCACACAACCTGTTGCTTCCCTGATCTTTCTATGTGCTGCTATGGCTGGCCTCACTTACTGCATGGTCCCTGCTTAAGATCCTTCATCTTTATGTCTACATTCCTACCTATTAAAATGTTGACCACACAAACCTCACAAGTGCCACTTGCTCTGTAATACCTATTTTACGGTTTGACTGTAAAATGTCCCCCACAGGTTCATGTAGTTGAACACTTGGTCCCAAGTTAATGGTACCATTTTGAGTGGTTGTGGGACCTTTAGGAGATGGAGCCTTGCTGGAAGAAGTGGGCTTCTGGGAGATGGCCCTTGAGGGTTACAGCCTGGGCCCACTTTTAGCTCCAATCTCCCTCTGCTTCCTGGTCGAGATATGTGAACAAGCAGCCTTATAATCCTGCCGCCACGGCCTGGAGATGCGCCTGCCACCACACCCTTCCTGCAGTGATGGACTGCACCCTCAAACTGTGGGCAAAAATAAATCCTTGCTCTCTTAAGTTGCTTCTTGACAGGTATTTGGTCATAGTTAATGAAAAAAAAAATGGTTAAGACAACCTGCTTGGAGACTTCATGGCCTTCCTCATCATAGAACTGATTCCAGAACATCTAATATGGTGAGCTACTTACTGTCTCACTCTGCCTTCTTCCATGGGAGGAAAATTCTGAGGGCAGGGGCATTTTCTTAGCTTTGCATTTATACCCAGCCCCTATGTCTTCTGACCTTGATTCATCAGCATGGAGGAGACAGTGGTCCTCCTCAATGGCATTTCTCTTTTCTGCTACTGACCTTCTGCTCAGCCTTTATTTCCTCTGCCTATCCTGACTAGTCTTTGATGGTCAACCCAAGCCCTTTCTGCTCTCAGAAACCTTCTCCAATGCTGCTAGCTCCAATCCATTCCATCTCAACTCCTCAGCTTCTCTAGGCTCTGATATGATTGTGCACTTAATCCTTTTTCATTTTGTCTCTTCTAGCTCCCACATGGGTCACACACTCTGAGAAGGGGGTAGTGGCTTAGAGTTAAAAGGCAGGAGTTTGAGTCTTCATTCCACAACATCTTCCCTCACGATAACTATTTTCTGTGTGCGGATAAATAAAATAACACATGTAGGCAGACCACACAAAAAAAGTACTTGATATACTAGTCTGTACTTTTACCTATAAATGCATAATAAAATAGTGAAGTCTTTCAATAAAAGGGAACTCAGATAGGTTAAATACTAACCTGCCCACCTGTCTTCTACAAGGAAGAGCTTCTTAAAGGTATCACCAGATAACCTTGTTTGTTGTCTTTGCCCCACACAGCCATCTAAGCCTCCCTGAGTTCTAAGTGCTTCTTTCCCAGTAAAACTTTCTATGCCCATTTTGTCTTTAATATGTATGTATATTCCCTTGTATTTTTCCAGATAGAATTTCACTTTGTCATTTTTCTTAAAAACTTGACAGATGGTTTTCAAATGATCCCATTTAAAGCAGTATGTAAAAACAGAGGATACCATTGGTGGTTCCCATTTTGCATCAAAGTCTGTGGTCCACTGAGTGCAAACTCAGGCTTAAGACAGAATTGAGTCTTCCAGTTAGCAATGTCCAAGGATCAAAAAAGATCTGAATATAGTTTGCTTTCTTCCAAAGCTTCCTAATATCAGTCCGCAGTAACAGTAATAGTAGTTCTTGCATGACGTTGTTCTTCAGTGTAAAGCCCAGGAATAGCTCTTCAGTGGACAAACCTGAGTTCTCACTGTTCTCTGTAGGAGAGACCTAGCCATTCTCCCATCCTGTGCTGATAGACCTAGAGCAAACACTGGCTGCCCATGTATGAGGAGGCCAACAACTACCCAAAACCAATTCTCACTGGCCTAAACAGACTCCTTGACTTGGGGGACAATCCAATTTTCTTTCACATACCACCATAAAAACGAATCATTTCTTTGCTTCTTAGAAGACTAATTACAAAAGTTAAAATTCAGGCCATTTTCCCATTCAGAGATGGTTGGTTGTTTCTAAGCTTAACAGTTAAGTGCTTCTTTGGACCTGTACTTCAAAATTGATGCTGATCTCATCCATCAATCACTGAGTCATCTGACTGTCCTACCCCAGGCTTGCTTTTCCTCCCAGAGATGCTAGGAATCCTTTAGTAGAATTATTACCATTTATTCAGACCTGAAGGCATAGTATCCTATGCAAGGAGCTTTCTAGAAAAAACTTCTTTAATACAATTTAATTTAATCTAACATAGGCTTAAGAATTGTACAATGCAGGCATTATAACCTTCATTCTCTGTATGAAGCATATTAAGAGTTCAGAGGGATGTTGAGTAATTTGCTGAAGATATTACCAGTGGGTGGTGAAGCCAGAATTCAAACACAGGTCACTTTGATTCTATGGCATTTACTTTCTACAACTTTGTTCTGCCCTTCCTAAAGATGGTTTACTGACTTTTTTAAAAAAGGATGAACAATTAGGATACAAACAGCCCTGTAGCCTTTCCCTATCACCTTGGCCTAACCTTTTAATTTTTATTTATTTATTTTTATGTGTATGAGTGTTTTGCCTGTGTGTACTTAAGTGTGCCACCTTCACGTAGTGCCTGAGGAGAACAGAAAAAGGCAACAAATCTCCTAGAACTGAAGTTAAGGATGGTTATTAGATGCCTTGTGGGTACTGGGAACTGAACTCAGGTTCTCTGAAAGATCAGCCAGTGCTCCTAACTACTGAGCCATCTCTCCAACTCCAGCCTGACATTTTAAATCAATACCAACTTTCATCCTAGAAGTTACCCTTGTCCTTAGTCATGTGAGAATCCAGAGTAGGAGCTCTTAAATCATACTTGCTGAAGTCTGAACAGTGGACAAACTTACCAGTGTGCTTCCGGCTGTGCATCTGTAAGTGGGACAGCTTAAAATATCTCTTATTGCAGCCTGGGTAAGCACACATGAAGGGGCGTTTCTCACTAGTCTCAGATGCTGACCGGACAAGAGTTGGTGCTACTCCAGGGACACGCCGCACATCCTGCAGGTACAGTGTAAAAGGAATGAATGGAAGCCTTACACCATATGCAAACATGCATGTCAGTCCCATGCTGAAATAAGCTGAAAGAAGGAATGGCAGGTAAATATGAGATCTAAAATTGGTCCTCTCCACACCCTAGATGCCTGCCTAGATCACTAATGGATGATAGATTAGGACATTATGATGCAGTGCTCTAATACCATTACTAGATTTACCAATACTTGAATTTGAAATGAAGCCTTTTGGGATTCCCTGACACCGATCCTCTAAAGAAGAAATGTTGGTTCCTGAAAGAGCTCCCAATCCTTGTTGTTCAGCATCTACTCAAGACAATAAAGTCTGGAATTCCAGAGTCCCAGACTATGCCCTCCCAGCTGGAGACATGATCACATGACTTTGGGCCCAATCAGCAAATGTAGGCAGACATTCTTATTAGAGAAAAACATGAGATAATGGGTGAGATCCAAATCAACCAGAGCTTCCATGTGTAAATAAATGATAAAGAAGTCTCTAGATTCTAGTGCTTGAATTCACCAGAAGCCCGTGGTACAGTCAGTGAAAACTTTAACAAGGACACCTGAAAACACTGGACTCTGTCAGCCTTCTGTGTCCTTCACATGTCCTTCCCAAAGCACCTACTTCATCCTCTTTATCTAGAAGGTAAGGCAAGCTTCCCTTCCTGCCCTCATGTTCAGTGATTCCTGGACTGCAGAGCAAGGACCTGTGTGTGTGTGTGTGTGTGTCCTCCATGTTCAATTATGGATGTGACAAAGGGGTGAACAGCTGATGCAGGAGCACATCTGTGATTGTGTGCAAACCTTACTTCTAAACCCCACATCTATCTGCTCTCTGTGTCTTCTAATCAGCCCATACTTACGTTCTCCTTCCTATTTCACCAGCCTTGCCCTGAGAGGGCACTTCCTTGTTTGCAATGGAAAGTTCTGTAGTGACATACACTATTGTATTGACAGATCATAGTGTATGCCACCATTTACCTTTACCTTACCAGCATACAAGTAAATGGTGGGCCAGTGTGTTGACTGGCATATTCTAGAAGAAAAAGAGTAGGCAATAAAACATCTGTACAGGGTGGAGTTTTCTAGAGGCCATGACAGTGGCTCTGACAAACTGAGTCTGGTGGGAAGGGAGGTGCAAAAAGCCTTTTTCATCTTCTTTCCTTCATCTTAGATGCAGATATAGGACTAAAAACCTGTTGTTAGTTTTAGTTATCAGTCTCTGTCCTAGTGAAGAATGCTGATGTTATCTGTGGAAGGAGACAGAGATGACTCTTTCTTAACTTTTATCATATCCCTATATTTCTGTGACTTTTGTTTTTATTTCTCACCATATGAAGGCTTGAATGAGAGAGCACACAATGCTGTTTTACTTCCACGTGTAGAATTCTTTGCCCACATATCTTGAAGGGGCCTGGCCCACATGCACCTTACTTCCAGGGTCTTGACTATTCTGGAAAGAGTACTCCAGTTGTTGTTGCAGCCACTGGGTCATGTTTTACGTCACAGATGTGAATCCCTGGTAACTGCAGTTCTGACTATCCACAAGAGACTTGGGGGGTAAGGGGGCCTCCCACAAGTCACCTGCATTCTCTGTGATTTCATGGTCCCTGGAGACCTCTCACTCTCCTGAGCTGTGCCTTGTCCTGTGTCTCCCCCAAGAAGCAATATTCTTGAAAACGAGGATGCTGGAGTCAGAGCAAACCTGTGTGTCTCAGCTCCCATTTACTAGCTATGTGATTTTAGACAAGTCAGTTGTCTTTTCTGGGCTTCGGTTTCCCCAACTATAAAATGGAAATAACAGTACCTACACATAAGTGTGTGGTAAGGGTTACACGAGAGAAGAAAGGCCATGTGTAATGCAGGAATCAGAAATGTACATTGCTAAGTCAAAGTAGTTAGTCTGAAAATGTTACACAGAGGTCCAAAGTTCTGAGAAAAGAGCAGTGGTTGGGGGTGGAAGGGGGGAAACACAGAAAAGGGACTGAACAGGTGCAATATGAGAATTATTGAGATGGTAAACATACTCCATAAGGTTATATCCTTGGAGCCTGTATCTATGTCTACAAGGTTATATTCATTGCAATTGTGCCTTGACTAAAACTCAGAACTATACAACAAAGTAAACCCTAGTATGAACTATGGACTTCAGTTAACAATAATATATCAACATTGGCACATCTGTTGTATAAAATGTACCACACCAAGACAAGATGGTAGTAAAAGGAGAAATTATGTGAAGGTGGTGGCAGAAGGATTCAGTAAATCTGTCACTTCTGTATAAATTTTGAATAAACCTAGGAAAAAATCCATGTTTTTAAAGTCTGTATACAAATCTTAGCACAGAGAACATGTCCAGCCATAGGTGAGACTGTTGTTACCGCTATAATCAACATTTGACAAGACAGTCTACTTTTGGGCACTTTATAATGTATATCGAATCTTTTTAGAAAGTAAAGGTCCAGGTTATTAATTCAAGTATAGATGGCCTCAAAACAAGAACTATACTGCCCATTCTGGAGGAGTATATTTAAAAGTAAAGGAGGAAAGAATGGGATTCTGCAGGAAACATCCTAGTCTGTATCAGGCAAGATGGCATCTCTGGGGGAGGAAGACACCCCTTACCAGTCCTAGTGGAAGAGAAACATGACTCTGATGACAAAGACTTGTCAAGGCCAGATAGTGCATCAGCAGGGAGCTGCAGGGCACCTGAGCAGAGGAAGAGGCAGAGAAGGTAGCCTCTGGCTGGAGAATCCCAGTACTCACCTGAATGCCTCGGAAGACACCATGGGTGTGTATTCTGTATTGGGCACCACAGAGGATGGGGGTTGTGTGGTTCTCACTCTCGTACCCTGTGCTATGACTGTAGACACAGAAAAGAATGGTTAGGGTTCTGATTGCCAGTCACCTTTTGGAAATGCTCATCTACAGCAGGAGGTGGTGACTTTTTTAAAGCTCACAGTACTAAAACAGCTGGATTTCGCCTTCTTTCGTGGAGCCACTCTGGAACAGGGATCTGGCAAAGCTGAGGCCTTACGTGTGTTACTACTACACAGCCTCCCCTCACCCTCAGATTCTTGCAGGCAAACTGTCTGGATCTGTGAATTGCTCAGACAAGCTGAGAAAAAGCCACAGTGGCAGGATTTCATCCCAGGCAAGTTGTTTACCATATGAGCAGCGGGCTGACAGCGAGACTATCTCAGGAATGAGCAGAATTCTTCAAGCTTCATGGGAAGTGCACTGGAGTTTTGTTGACACCTCATGACTCAGTTCTTACCAGATAGCACCAAGAAACTGATGACATTTACAAGAAGACATGTCATATCCTCAGAAGTCAGGGTTGCACATCTGTGTCCCCACTCAACCTACAGATCAGTTTTTCAGATTAAGTTAACTCTGTGTGTGTGTGTGTGTGTGTGTGTGTGTGTGTGCAGGTGTACACACACATGCATGTGCATGTGCTCATGTGTGTATGGGTGCCTGTGCATACATGTGTGTGAGTATGCATGTGGAGGCCAGAAACTGACATTAGGTGTCTTACTTGGTCTGTTTCCACCTTAATTTTTTGAGATGGAGTCTCACTGAACCTAAAGCTCACCAATTCGGCTACGTTAGCTGGCCATTAAGTTTCAGGGATCCTCCTAACCTCACCTCCCTAGTGCTGGGATTACAAGCACACTTGAACTTTTACATGAGTCCTGGGGGATCAAACTCAGAAGCTCAAGTTTGCATGGCAAGTACTTTAATAACTGAGCCATCTCCCCAACTCCATCTTAACTCTTTGTAGCCATCAGCGGGTGTTGGATAACAACCTTAGGCAGTGCTTGAGCTAACTTGGGACTACAAGTGAGGCCTGAAGGATGTGAAGCATCAGAAAGAGCAACTTGGAAGGAAATGTGTTGCTCTGATAAAAGTCTCTCCTTCAGGTACAGTGCATCTTTTCTGCAGTGATTTATTTCCAATCCAGCCAGTTGCAAAGAATTTCACCTATACTGACAATATATCAGAGTTGCATTGAGAATCACTGTGGGAGTGATGATGAACCAGCCTTCATGAACCATCCCTGTGAAAGGAGGCAGCTACTTTGGAAAATGTCTGGAATCCCCCTGCCCATCCAAAATAGATACAAAGGGGACATACTACCTAGAAATCCTGGATATTTTCTCAAAGGAATAAAAACAATTTTCTACAAAAAAAGACTATACACTGTTCACTAGAGGCATTATTTATTCCTAAAAGTCAGAAACTAGAATCAACTCAAATGTCAATTAAGCAATGAAAGAATAAATACAATGCAATATCTTCATACAATGGAATATTATTTGGAAAAAATACGTGAAGCACTGATATGGTAAGTCGAAGAACAAAGTCACAAAACGCCACATATTGCATAATTCCATTTATATGAAATGTCCATACTAAGTAAATCTATAGAAATAGAAAGTAGATGGCTCAGTAGTTAAGAGCACTTGCTGCTCTTGCAGAGAACCTGAGTTCAGTTCCCAGCACCCACATAGCAATTCAAAACAGTCTAGAACTCCAGTTCCAGGGGAGTAAATACTCTCTTAAGATACACATTGGTGCACATGCATTCAGGCAAAGCACTCATACACAGAAAAATAAATAAATAAATATAAAAAAGAAAAAGAAAACAGATTAGTGGTAGGTTGCCTAAGACAAAGGGAGTTAGAGGAATACGAAAAGTGAAAATGTCTTAACCATGCAGGAAAGGTCACACAAGCCTGTGACTTTACCAGAAAACATTGCATTGTGCAGTCTAAGTGGGTGAGCTGTATGTCATGTGAAATAAATAAAGCTGCTTTGAAATCTTTTTTATCAAGCTGAGCATGGTAGCTCATGCCTATAATCCCAGACTTGGGAGATGGAGGCAGAAGGATCAGGAGTTGGAGGCCAGCCTAGGCTACATAAGATGATGATAATGATTTTGTAGTAGCATCTTTAAAACCCTCCAGGTAAATTAACTGATGGTTGGGGCTGACCAACCACTCTCTGCCTCTGCTATCTCAGCAGTTCAGGGATACCCAAGTAACGACAGGTGAGCTGGTAGATCAGCCCACTCTGTTTGATGCAGAAGGCCTAAGGCTGATCCAGCCCTCATTCTCCAGGGAAAGGAATTCCTGGAAAAGGAAAGTTTCTGCCAGGGTCACTGCAATATCCACACAGCCTGGGACCACAGCAGCTGTGGGGTTTCACATTGAGTTCTGGCTCCAGGCATTTTAGAAAGAAGTGTCTGTCTTCTTTGTATAGTTTGGGGAGGTGGGTGGCTGTTCTATTTCCCTAACCTCCTACACTTTAGCTCTATAGCCCATTTCAAGTGCTTTTTTACATATTGTAGCAAGGGGAATGGTGTCTCAGAGAACTAAAACAGGGTCAAGCATGCAAAAATTGGGGAGAAACACCAAACCCCAACAGAATCTGCTTTTCTGACCCTTACAATGCATTCATTGGGAGAATGAGGCCCTGACTGCTTTCTTACCATTGTATCCTATGTGGTGGGAAAGTGAGAAAGGATGTAACAGCTGTGTGGTAGCAAAAAGAAGCTATGGCCAGAACAGGAGCTGCCATGAGAAGCTGGTTTTACCTGGTTCCACCATCTGCATGGAGCCACAGTGTGATTTACATATTTTCTAGGACCAAGGGACACAACCTGAGTAGAAATCTGAGTTGTTTTCAAGGTCTATTGTAAAGGAGAAAGAACTGGCAATCTTTTTTAATGGCTGTTCTCTGGATATTAGCTGGATTCCTGGAAAGTGATAATAGACAGCACGGAAAACAGATTTTCATCAAGATACTTGTCCAGTGACAGGAAATGTTGTATCACTCAAGTGAACAACATTAAGTATTGATCCTACTGTCTCATGCAAGGTATCAAACAAAAGAAGCCACCAGCAACAAGACTGTACCTGCCAGCCCTATCACTCGATCCTTCTGCCAAGTCAGCGAAAAGTGGCTAGTCTCTGCCTATTGATTCTTTTGTCTGCACAAGACAAACACCAAAGCAATACCACATTGTAAAAACCAGCCAGCTTGCTTCTCAGTGTGGTCCTCTAGGAACACCAAATTCAGCCCATAGGCATTTAATTAGCAGTATCTCCCTCTAAATGAGGAAAAGTAAAGCAAACCAGTAATCTTGAATCATAGACTAACGGAGAAAGCACAGAGGAAGGTTGTCTGTTTCCTCCCCGCTTAAAGCAGTAACCTCTTACAGCTCATGATGTATGAGGTTAGACAGCATGACAGGTGACTAGTTTTCAAGACAGTCTATTTCTCTTGGAGACAGTTACAATTGACTTCCCAAACTGAACTGACATCTCCCTCATTTCTACCTTCTGGTGAACCATTGAGTGAGTATTACTGTTACAGTCATCTCTGTGAATCTGTCTCCTCTGCTCAAGGCTGAACTTGACCTTGAGTACAGATTCCTCTCTCCTTCCTGCAAATTCTACCTTTAATTATAGTAGGCACGGAACACATCAACATTCTAGAATGGACTGAGTCTAACACCTCTTCCACATTATAATCCTTCAGGTCTTAGAAGGTAGCCCTCCAGACTAGAGCTGTGTTCTCTCAACAAGGAGAAATGGCGTCTTGATCTCTTACCATCCCAACTGTCCTCTTTCCCATCCCCTTCATTTTGTTAAGTCCTTCTCAAAGTGGGAACTGAGGCTAGATCTCAATGCTGCAAGGTGTGTTTCTATGCAGAGGTGGAGGGAAAGATCATCTGTATATCTGAGAGACTTTAGAATCAGGACTGTAACATCAATGCATGAGACTGGAGCATGCAGGCTTCCCTGGAAGGGATTCTGTCCAAATCTGTCAAGATCAATATGCTAGTTGATACCGTGAATTTGGCCCACGAGCTATCAGTGCTCAAGCCTTGGGTAGGGTCTTGAGTTTCTTGGCTCAGTGTAGATATAGGGCTGTTTTAGCACTAAGAACAAATAGCTCCATCGCATTTCAGTCACAGTGATCTTCCTCAGTCTAATAAAATCTCCAACTCTCGCCTCTATCCTTAACCCTAGCATTGCCCGAGGCAGGTATCCATGGCCTGAAGCTAAAGACATGATTATTTTAGGTTGAAATTCAGCATTATAGATTTACTGTCCAAATCCCATCTGATTTCTTTCAGTGAGTCATTTCTAACTGCTGAAATTTGACTCTGAATTTAGCTTCCAAACCATTTGTTTTCCATCTCCATCTAATGTCATCTCTGCATTTAAAAAGCCCCCTTCTGAGGCTGGAGAGATGGCTCAGTTGTTAAGAGCACTGGCTGTCCTTGAAGAGAACCCAGGTTCCATTCTCAGCACCCACATGGTGGCTAAAAACTGTCCATAACTCCAGTTCCAGGGAAATCCAGTGCTTTCTTCTAACCTCCACAAGCACTGCACAACACAGGTACACTTACACACTGTCTTAGTTTGTTCTTCATTGCTGTGACAAAATACTCTGACCACTACCAACTTGGGCAGGAATGGGTTTATTTAGCTTACATATCTCAGGTCACAGTTCATCTGAGAGTCCAAGGTAGGAACTCAGGGCAGGAACCTGGAGGCAGGAGCTAGAGCACAGGCCATGGAGGAATGCTGCTTACTGGCTTGCTCCCCTGGCCGCTGCTCAGCCTTCTTTCTTATGCAACACAGGCCCACCTGCCCAGGGGTGGCACCACCCACAGTGGGCTGGGCCCTCCCACATCATTCATCAAGAAGATGCCCTTCAGACATGGCCACAGGCCAGTCCAATAGAGGCAATTCCCCAACTGAGGCTCCCTCAACCCAGGTGTGTCACGTTGACACTAAAGCTATCCAGCATACACACACATGCAGGACACATAAAATAATAAAT